CAGCAGGGTACCTGCTGCCTGATCAGGGTGTGCTAGGAATGTTCAGAGTGGGCGGCTAATGGCAGTGGAGGCGGCGTGTAGCTTTGTTTCCTCCTTTCATGGGCTGGCGTGTCTGCAGTTTGCATTTGAGCCCTCGCGGAGCCATTCGGCACTGCTAGCTTTTCAAAGAAACAGTAGCCAAGTGCTTGATCCCACCCTGGCAAAGGTATTTTGGAAGCACTTGGCCTTTGCCCCCATGAGAATATGCTGCTGTCCCCTGTAGTCAGCTTGGCTTAGCACTTTGACACGTGTTCCATTCATGCAGTTGAACGCTGGCACAGCGCTTTCCGACAGTGCTTTCCACACGGAGCGCTGCGGTGCATGCAGACCCGCAGGGCACCTCGCTTTGGAGCAGAGCCTCCTGGGCATTGCGGCTGAAGCAAGGCAGCATTCTTGATGAGTTCTGTCCCCCAGCAGAACCCCTCAGTCATGCTAACTCTGGGGTGGCCCGTGTTCCACGAAGGGATGTTTGGTTGGACATGCTTCCCTGTATTGGGGTGGGGATGGGGGAGGCGTAAGTTTTGCCAGCATTAATGCAATGGGGCAGGACTGGCTGAGGGACTCGAGATCTTTATCTGTGGGCGTCAGTCCAGATCCCTAGCTTGTCTCCAGGTGAAGATAACATGTAAAGTGCCTGCATGGTGTGATAAGTCCTGGAAACAGTTGGAATTCGAGATAACTATCTTTATGGCTCTTTATAGCCCCACACTTGGAGCTCAAACCTAACTTTCCATCAGCAGAAATCTGGTGGGGGGAAGAGGAGACTGCTTGTTTGAGCAAACTTGTAGCTGTTAATAGGCAATTGGAGAGGGATTGTCGTTGCAGGAGAGAGGAAATGCACCCGTACTCACAGCTGGCTAGTTCTTACTGCACGGGAGAAATCTAGCTGGAGGGGACCCTCGCTTAGCAGGCTCTGTCTGTGAGGATGGCGCTTGGCTTGGTTAAACAGGGCTGGACTGTTGGGGATGTGGCTTCCTGAACCCACAGCACTGGAAAGCAGCAAGGTGGCTCCCTTCACATCTGAAGCCAGCTGGCTGGGGGGGGGCGCCTGTCCCCTGGATACCCATGGGGTGAGCAGTGTGTTGGCTAGCTTTGCAAGGGGGAGTAATAGCTTGCAGCGTTGTAACCCTTCCCAGCCAGCCTCTTGCGAAGGAGATACAGCTTCCTCTAACTCCGAGGAAGGCGGCAAGCTGACTGGCTCCCCCATTACTAACAAACATCCTTGTTTATCCAGAAGTTTTCAAATACTTTCAAATAAATGGGGCTTAATTGTTAACATGGCCTACCTGCCGCCAGGAGCGCTCTTGGTATTTCCTTGCTGTTGAGTCTAGGGCTCAGTAGAATTGTGGTTCACGTTTTTAGTAAAATATATTAACTATGTCCTACCTCAGACCGATCCTTTCACAAACGCTTCTAGAGGAAGTGTTCCTTGTCCTGCTTGACCCAAATAGCGTACGATTTGTGTGGTTCTTCTTACACTAAGAACTTTCACTTCCAAGTGACTAAACTAGGAAGAGTTCAAACAGTGTTCTGCACTGTTGTCTAAATCTAGGTATTGCAAACAACTCCTACTAGTGGGCTCTTAAAACCTAGAGCAAGCAAAGTGAAATGACCTGGGGGGAAACGCTTCTACGGCAATCTGGGAAAGCATAACTTTGAACTGAGCTCTAAGGAGTCTTTGAATGGAAGAGGTTTAAACCCTCATCCATTAAGCAGATGCAAGAGCATGCCAGGTCCTAGTTGCATTCACCACCCCCACCTTGCCTCGAACATTTGCAAGACTTGATGTGATTCTCATACAACAACCCTTTCTACAGAAAGACGGTATGAGGTGCTACGATACGTGTCTTGCCTCACAGCAGATTTAGAAGCAGGAGTTTCTGGATGTGCCCCTGGTGGTTTAGAGCCTGGTTTTCAACCTGATTTTGATGTGATGCTGTGCAATCCTGTAGTGTGTTGCAGTCTCCTTATCCTCACATGCTGAGAGGTGATAAAGGAGGAGGTGAAGGTGTTCTCTTCTAATAGAATGAAATTTGCGAGAGTGCCTTTGTCACTCAGTCTCAGACTTACTTTTAGTGAGATGAGAAATCGTTTTTCTTGAGACTTTGCTACAGTTTTCCCGGCGGCCTTGTGTACACTTACTGGGAGATCAGTGCAGCAGGGATCCGGCTTTCAGGCTAAAGCTCCTCTGATATAAAGTTGCCAACTCTCAAGTTAATCATAAAACCTTGAACTTAATACTCAGTTCTGTCACTTGGAGTGGTGGCACACGTTGATACGTTCTGTGTAACCAGGGTCTTCAGTATTGGCTGAAGATCTGGATACAAAGAGAAGAGTTCAACATGGTTGGGAGGAGGTGATTCTTGTATGAAGGCAAAATGCTTTCCCAGGGAGCTGCTTTAGTTGATCACTCTAGCTCCAGGCACTCCATGTGTACTTGATAGCGTACGGGCGATGGAGTAGCATCTTCTGCAAACCTTGTAGCCAGAGAAGTGTGAGCAGCTGAGGACAGTAGATAGCATGTTTTGTCTCTCCAAAGACGTGCTCCATGTTTGTTCAGCTTTTGTTGGTTTCCTTGCAGGGATTGACTACAAGACCACCACTATCTTGCTGGATGGCAGAAGGGTCAAGTTGGAACTCTGGTGAGTTTACATTTCTAAGCTCTCTTGGCAGCGGGCCCAGTGTCTCCGAGCGTGCTGGAGAGAGAATACAGCTAGCTCTGGAAAGCGCGCTTCCGTTCCCTGCCGTACTGCAAGACCTGCCAGCGTGCAGCTCACTCCCCTTGCCGCTAGAATAACCGCCAGCCCTTTTCCTGGTCAGTGGCTCGCAC